TTATATATTATTATATATATATATATATATATATATATATATATAAAATACAATAGTATAATACAATAGTATAAGTAGTTTGATTAAATAAGATACAAAGCATATTATTGCAATTATTTAGAATTAATGAAAAAAAATTAATACTGTTGTGCATTTTTATTGTCAGATTTTGATGAGACAAAGCGAACAGCGCTCATTGCCCACCCAAAATGATATCATGGATTCTTTATATAATGATCATGACATCAAACCATATGTAGTAGAACGTAACGGCATTATAGAAAGCTACTTAACAGAGTTATCTGCGATTAGTTTGATAAATATGTATTGTACTAGTTTATTGAAATGTAAGTTTGTCCATCTGGTTCCCATTTGGAAATTAGAGAGAAACAATTTTGAAGACCACACATTGTTTAAGGTATTACATATATTTTTAACTAATTCTTGTAATTTATAAACAGTATTTCTTAATTGCATAAACTTGACAGATTTCCCTTAAATTACCAAACTTATCGCCGTTGAAAACTGAAATTCATGGTGATTTTATGAAGAATATAGATAGTGCTAAACGATCCGTTGCTATGAAGACTTGTATAAAATTACACGAGATAGGTGCATTAACTGATAAGCTATTACCTACAACTGACGATGCAATTATACAAAACTTGGATTACTTGTTTCCAAATTGGATAGATGAAGATGATTGTCTTACTGGTACATATAAAAAGAAACGAGAACATGGGCTAAAAGCAAGTATACATGCTATATGTATATGATGTTTAATTAAGTAATAATATTTATCTATAAATAGCCGTTAATTGATAAAAATGCTTTTGCAGTATCCAATGGCATTACATGGCGCATATCCACAGTCTTTTGAATCACTGTATCTTCATGTTCTTAATTGTACTTCTATGTATTCTACGACAGGTTACGATAATAGACGCAAAGTTTTCCACAAATTGCTTAATGACAAAAGTAGCTTTGGTATCCTTTCCACAAAGACTTTGCCAAAGGTAATTATTTATTGATATTTAATTAATTTAAAGAACAGAATAATAGATAGCATTACTCAATAGACAGGATCTTAGGTGTCTAATGATTTTTCTAAATTTACATCTATAAATTTCTGAATCTATAAATTTAAAAAGAAAAATTATTAAATATCTAAGATTATGTTTATTGAATAATACCCTCCATTATTTCGTGAATTATTTTCTTTGAAACTTATCTCAACTTATTACAATGATTATTTAAATTATTTAAATAATTTAAATTGCTAATCACAATAATATTATTGTAATATTTTTTATGCTCAGATACCTTCTTTTCCGATCTTCATGAAGGATGGGAAATTAAATGTTGACGTAAAATCCAATCACACGACGATAATATTGGATGATATTGATATCGAAGTTCTAAAAAAATTTCATTTCTTATTATTCAATGATATTATTCCTGTTATTAAAAGCTTTATGGTTTTTGATAATGATAATTTGGAAAATTCCTTTTTAATTGTCCCATGTAAGTAATTGTATTATTATGTAAAATTGTTCATTGTAATAACGAATCGATCACTATTGATATATTCGCAATATATCACTATTAATAAAAATCTGTTTTTTATTTTTCTAACATTTCAGTGAATGATCAAGAGAAAATAAATTGGGACGTTGTCAAAACATATCAATATTTGGAACGAATTATGCCATCTAAGCCATTTCACTTTAGAACTAGCGATTACGAATTGGCATTGGTTACTCCAACTTACAGAGGATCAGCGGTTTATATAGTTACACGTGTGTGCGATGATATGACACCTGAATCATGTTTTCCCAATGAAGATTATGATACGTTCATACATTATTACAAAGAAAAGCACAGACTAACTATAGAAAATCTGGAGCAATCTATGCTGGAGGTGAAGCCAATACCAGCCAATACAAAAATTAACTACATAAAACCGAGGTACAGTATTTTGCAAAGGTATCACGTTGTGATGTATATATGATTTGATTAATTTGCAGAACAACCGATGGTGCATCGAAATATAAGAAAGCGGACGATTCATTCGAGGATCTTCAGGAACATTTAATTCCAGAACTATGTGTAAAGATAAATTTCCCAGCTATATATTGGTTAAAAGCCACCATGTTGCCTTCCATTCTTCACAGAATTTGTCAATTCTTAATCGCGGAAGATTTGAGAGTAATTATCGCAAATGAGGCTAGATTAGGAACGCCAATATTAAACGAATTATCTTCCTTGAATCTTGACGAAAATATGGAGAAATTGATGGAAGAAGATGACTATAATAATAGAATAGAATTTATGGATGATACAATCGAGAAAACGCAATCGGATCAAACATATTCGAATTTAAGCTCAATGGAATTAGGTATGTAATATAATACATCTATATATTATTCATTATATGAATGTTAAAAAATATTGATAATATCTTTGCGATGGTATATTTCTATTTATTATATAATATTTGTGTATGACGTTTACTCTCGCAAATGTTGGACAACGAAAATAGATTGTAACTCGTCTGTGAGAGATCAAGAACCTCAGGATTTATTTCGTAATATAGATCAAGTCCAAATGATTGATATTCAGTATTATAATCAATTTATATTTTCAAACTATGATGAAGATAAAAATGTTAAGGTAAGCAAAATGTAACAATGTGTGTGATTGTGTCATATAAATATATCAAAATAATTACATTTATATGTGTAGAAAAATACAAATAAAAGTGTTGGTCATTACATTACAAGAGCAATGATAACAGCACCATCATTGAATATTCTTAAATCGTCTAAGAAACTTTCTCATTCACACGGTCCGAATTCGGAAGAAATCATGCATGTAAGCGGAAATTTTATTTCTTGTGTATCGTTTGCCATGAATAATGATTATACATACGTACTTTAATTACAAGATTTTATTTACTTTGCTTTAGGCCTTAACCACTAAACTGGGTAATGATATGTTCAATTTGGAGCGCTTGGAAACATTAGGCGATTCTTACCTGAAGTATATTGTATCACTATTTTTGTATCATAAATTCCCAACATTTAGGGAAGGTCAATTGACGGCGGTGAAGGGAAAGATTATTGGCAATCGTAATCTCTATTTTTGCGGCAACAAAAAGGGTATCCCTGGGCGTATAAAGAACGATGCATTTATACCCACGAGCAATTTTATTCCGCCCGCATTTACGGTGCTACGTCCATTGCAAACGATATTACTGAGCGAGTCAATAGCGCCGAACGTATTGTACGAACTTGAAATACCAGAACAGGAGAGATATGAAGGGTACATAACTGAAATTACGAGAGATAAGATGAAACAAACGGTAATAGATTGGGATAAGGGAGATAAACAAACTGGCGTCGAACATTATCTCGGTATACAAATCTTATCCGATAAAACTGTGGCGGATTCAGTGGAAGCACTAATAGGAGTTTATTTAAAGGTAAGGTTTGTAACTATTATCATCTTGAGATACGTTCATTTTGAGAAACGTAATTAGCATCAATTGCATCAATTGTATCATGATTATAAAATATCATTCTGCATTAGAGTAATGGTATAAAAGGCGCCGCGAAGCTTCTTCAATGGTTTGGAATATTGCCTGATATCAAGATTGACAAATTACTCGATAATAATACATTGGATCCCGTAATGGGTTGTGGCGATCCCGACAAATATATGCCGTGGGCTAATATCATAGAAACCAAATTTGGTTATAAATTTAAGAATCGAGCGTTTCTGTTACAGGTAATATTAAAAATAATTGCCATGCAGATTACACACACACACACACACACACACACACACACACACACACACTATATATATATATATATATATATATACACCCATACATTTAATCGTTCACGTATTTTACATAAGTTTATACATATTTTCTTGTGTGTATGTATGTGTATTTACAGCATATATGTAATACAAAATTATAACTATATTTAAACTACATTATTCTTTAGGCATTCACGCATCCATCATACACAGCGAATGTAATAACTGAATGTTACCAAAGGTTAGAATTTCTTGGAGATGCTATTCTCGGTAGGTAAAAAATATTTTCGGCACATACAAGATTATTAATTAAATTATTAAGAATATTCATATTTTTCCTAATGCTTTTCAAATAAATCGCAATGAATAAATTATATCTTTTTCGTAATTTCAGATTTTCTGATTACGTGTTACATTTATGAAAATTGTGGAAATTTAAGTCCGGGTAAGGTCACTGATCTCAGATCCGCGCTAGTCAACAATATAACATTTGCTTGCTTGGCAGTACGATATGGTTTGCATATCGCTTTATTAGCCTATGCTCCAAAACTGCATGAAATAATCGATCGTTTTGTAAAATTCCAAGAAGAACGAGACTACGTAATTGACGACGAGGTATACAATACGAATTTTACAGCAAGTATATAAGTATAATCTCTCAAGTATAATCGCATTTCTTTTTAATACAGCTACTATACGTATTGATCGAAGAGGATGAATGTAATCTAGCAGAATATATTGATGTCCCAAAAGTTCTCGGTGATTTATTCGAATCTTTAATCGGAGCTATTTATCTCGATAGTGGCAAAAATCTTACGAAAACCTGGGAAATCATTTATTCTGTTATGCATAAAGAAATTGGTAAAATTGTTAAATTATATGTTAAGATGCTAATTACATAAGCACATATATACAGAAATGGATTGTTTATTTCTCTTATTTTCATATATTTTATACTGTCAACTTTTTTACTGAGATTTTAATATTTGTTTTATAGATAAATTTAAAAGAAATATTCCTAAACAGCCAGTGAGAGTGATATATGAAAATACGGACATACATCCAAAATTCCTGTAAGATCACTAACATAAATATTACGTACACATCTATATATTCTGTCTCTCATATTATATGTACATAAAATATGCTTATGATTGCAGACCTACGATATCCATCGATAGTAATCAGCATATTATGATACCTTTGAAAATCACTATTGCTGGTAAGGAAAAAGTTTTCCATGGTTGTGGTGTTAATAAAAAGCAAGCCAAATGTGCAGCTGCAAAACTAGCATTAAAAAGACTGCAACTTGAAAAATAAGTTTTTTACAGATCAGTTGTTTGATATATATGTTTATATATGTTTATATATGTTTATATTTGTAAATTTAATACTTATTTAGATTTATATAAACAAATTGTATATCTTCATATTTCATGAGTCTTATAAGTCTTATAATAAGATTTTAATATTTGACATTATGCAAAAAAATAAATCTAAATTATGATTAATCGAATCAAATACCATATCAAATTAATACAAAACGTTTATACATATATATATATATATATATATATATATATATTGTTATATCTGATGAAATGTAGCAAAATGTAGCATATTATTGATTCGAACTTTTTAAAAAGATTAGAAAATGTTGTTTAAATGAAAAAAGATACTTAGAATTAGTAAAAATTATTTTAATTATTTTGAAACATTTTTATAATTTAATAATGATAAACGTTTTATATTAATTCGATAATTGCAATGCTGTAAAAGCGCAATATTTATATTATAAAAAAATACAATATATATTTTGAACTTCCAATATCCCTAAGAAATAAATATATTTTGCATATTAATTTTATATAGGTTTTATGAATTTTGTCATTAAGTATATATTATAAACATTTTTAATCTAAGATGACAATATTTCTTCCAAAAAGTTATTCTTTTACATACAGATAGCAATTATATGATTTTTATATACATGACATATATTTATATTAACCAACAATGTGATATAAACTGGTTCTAATGTTCAAATGACCTCTTGCATGCTTTTTAATATAATACATTGCATTGTTATATTTTTAAAAAAGTGGAAAATAAAAAGATAAAAAGTACACGATACTTAGGCTACTTAATTTTCAGCTTTTCTTTTCTTCAAAGAAGGTCGATCAAAGATTTGCTTCATTCCCGCCGCCTGATTATTGTGAAACTTGAGATTCTGAGCTGTCTCCGATATCCAAGGCGAATCGAATTGTGTCGTATCTTGATCTACCAAGTGGGTGTACTTGGTTCTACCACTGCGTCCAAAGTTCTTCACCTGCATAACTTTCGGCAAAATCGTCTTGTCGAAGTGGTCCTCTAAGGTTGCGCCGGAGAAATCGCGTTTGAATATAGCATCATCTTTGTCCAAATAGAACGCACCGCGATGATAATACTTCTGCAAAAACTTGTACTTTCCTTTGGCTGCCTTATTAGTGATCATCTTTGGATTCAGTCGCGCTTCCTGCCTTCGTTCTTCCTCAGTCATATTGCGAATACGCTCGATTTCCAAACGTTCCTTTTCAAGCTGCTCTCTTTCCTCACGATCTCGCTTAATTCTCTTCAGCTCGCGCAATTTCCAGGCCTCGTATTCTACCTCGTCGTTTTCATCATCCGTGCAGACATCATTCAGTTTACTTTCCTGCTCAACGTTACCTTTGTTACCCATCTGTGTCTCCTTCCGCACCGTCTCCTCCACCATTCTTAAAGTCTGTCTCTTACGTTCTTCGGCCAGTTTCTTGGCCTCGATCTCCGCTTGCTTCTGCCGCATCGCCTCCTTCTCCTTCTCCATCACCGTGATTCTATCCTTTTTGCGAACAAACACGGGCTTCAATCGCGGTCCAGTTTCTTCTTCGGAGTCCGTGTATTCCTCATATTCTGAACTTTCATCTGAGCTTTCACCCGATCTATCCTCCTCTTCACCCTGTATTAATTCCTCCTCTGTTTCCTTCTTGGAAAGTACTCGCTGCTTCAGAGCCTCTCGTCGTTTTTCTATCTCGGAATCCGACAATTCCTCGTCTTCAGATGAGTCCGAGCTTTCTAATTTAATTCTTTCTCGTGTTCTCTCTAGTTCGATCTCTATAAGCTCGGGCTCGTGAATATGTCTGTGTCTTTCTACACGTACTTCAGTTGGTGCCTCTTTCTGTTGTCGCGTTAATCTTCGCAAACGCGGATCATCCTCATCCCTACCTCTCGTATGCGAATGAGAAGTGAGATCTGTGACAATTTCATTATCGTCGTAACTCTTGTGTACACGTTTATCAAGGAAATCTTCGTCTTCGGACTCCTCATCTGAACTCACTGCCGCATAATCTGGCCGCTTACCAGAAACGTAACGATGTACTTTTACTTTCTTCATAGACAATTCTCCTACAAATGCAAAATAATTATTTAAAAATTTTATAATACAAAAGAAATCTCTATATTACAAGTATTTAAATGTGAGAATAAAAATAAATCAAAAATTTTCAACATAATATAAAAAAGTAAAAAAAAAATAAAAACTCTATTTGTTTTATACAAATTGTTTTATACAAAAATCTTATATTTCTCAGCATTTCATCTCTATTATTGCTGTTTTATAAACAAGTATTGTGTAATTGTTTATATACACAATTTATAAATCTAATAAATTTATAATTTTGACATAAAAAAAAAGTAAATTGAAACGAAGGTCAAACATAAATATATCTTTCTAATACTAGGTGTTATCAATATCAATAGTATATCACATCGTTATCAGTGCTTTATTTTCATCTTTATATAATATAATATAAAATATTAGTAAAACTCAAATTTTTTGCTAAAGACAAAAGAGAACCAATTTTTAACATTTTTTAATCGCGAAACGCGACGTTAGAGGCTTTTCTATTTCAGCAAACCTAACCTTTGTCATTCTTCACGGGCACGGCACCCGCGGTGCTTTGTATTCCCATCGGTGCGGGTGCCAAGGAATTGTTCGTCACAAAATAGTCCATCATCATTTTGACGCTGTGCTGAGAATCCTGTTACCGTCGAGAATCAAAACTGAATAAAAATTAACCGCGACAGATACCTCACAATTCATCGACAATTAACAACAGAAATGGAACAGGCAGTGTAGGTGTAAAAAAGTGTAGGAACTTCATGTGCAATACGCATGCGTCGATTTATTTCACGAATACCTCTACGCCGATCGGATCCTGGTGTTTCCCGTTCGAATTTGTCTAAATTGTCAGTTGTTATGACACGCATGCCGGCGTATCGAGTGTGAGTTCATTCTCAGCATCGTGAATTTATGGAGGCCGAGAACGAGGAGGTGGCCCTGATGCAGCCCGCGACGGACACGTCAGCGCGGCCGTCAACGCCAACCGAGAACTATAACCACAACAAGATCCGCAGGAGGAACGTATCCGAGGCCAACGCGGACGGTGATGATCGAGTGCCCCTCGTGAGCCTGCCCAATTCTACGAAAGCGTGGCACAATGGCGTCACACCGCGGATACCGGAGACCGCGGTCACCGCGGACACGTCGGCGATGAGCAAGCAGCGGAACGGCGTGCTGACTTGTGAGGAAGATCGCGAGTCAAACGACAACGACACTACGGACGTTCCCATGAACAGCGAGATGAAATTGAGCATCATCCGCGGTAGCATCGCCAATCCGAACCTCACCTTAGGAGAGCTAAGACTACTTGGCTGCAGTAGCGAAGGCTTCGTTAATGGTACTTTGCCCTTTACATTATGATCAACAAGGAACCTTATAATTTCGAGACACATTGCCAAAAGAGAATTTCCGATTGTCCATGTAATGCTGATGTACATGGTATTCTCCCAGGAACTATCCTACCTAATGTTTGTACTAAAAAAAAATGGTTCCTTTTTGAGAATAATTTTACTATTTATGACTTAAGTCTTGAAATCATGGAGATGATCTGTAGATGATGTACGAAGGATACTGTGGCCGAAACTTCTGCGACTAGCGCAATTGGAGTTTGCCCCTGTTAACGGACTAGAAACTGTACATACTCATATACCGAATGAGGTTTACCAGCAAATATTAAAGGATGTGGCACGCAGCGGTAGTCATATCTCTGAGACGGCAACAGAAAAGGAAACAGAAAGTTTCCAAGAGCAATTAACTCAGCTCATGTGTTGGGTACTTCATAGACATTCCCAATTAAAGTTAGTATATTTATAAGATTGAATAATATGCTTATTATATTTATGATTTTTATATAGTTGCGTCTTATTGAATGCAAAATAAAATAATCTGTACTTAGTTATTACCAGGGATATAATGACGTAGCAGCAACTGTATTACTTGTAATGGGATTACAAACAGGCTTATATGTGCTTGAGAGTATCTCATTAGAATTTCTGGAAAGATTTATGGAAAAGACTATGGAAAAAGTGAATCAAGAGTTATTCTATATTTTTGCATTACTGGAAAGAGTGCATCCTCTACTTCTGGAACATTTAGAAAAGTTAGTTATAACACAATGAAACGTATTGATTTCTAAGATTTTTTAAAATTAAAAATGATCAGAAAATTTTATAGTTTTTGTTTTTAAAATTAAAAATGATCAGAAAATTTTATAGTTTTTGTTTTGATTTTTACTTTATATATTTACTAATACTAGTAAATTTAATATTAATAATAGAATTTTTTAATTCTAGTGTAGAACTATTTCCACACTTTGCTTTGGCTGAATATACAACATGGTATGCACACAAGTATGCAGAAAATCGAAAATTGTTACATAGATTATTTGATTATTTTCTGGGTAGTCCCCCACTCATGCCTCTCTATTTAAGTACAGTAATCGTTGCACATAGAGCTATAGAAATTTTTAATACCACACCTGATATGGGACATACGCATAAAGTATTATGTACGGTAAGTATAATATATAAACAAGGAAATGATGACTTTGAAAAGAGATAATAGAGTTATTTTGAGTTTACATTTCCAGTTACCTGACGATTTGCCATTCGAAACACTTTTGGTAGAAGCAAGAAATTTGTATCGACAATATCCGCCTGAGTCTATTAGTAATGATGTTAGGGATTACGATCATAAGAGAAAAATTAAAGAGCAAGAGTGGAAGGCAAAGGCAGAGGCGAGCCGTCAAGAGAGAGAAAGACAACGAAAATTAAGAATTGTTCAATCAACGCCAAGAATATTTTATCGCAGGAGAAATTATAAAACCATTACCATTACCATGACTATTCTAGCTGTGGGAATATATGCTTTTATAAAATGTTCGTCAGTGCTTAACTGACATTAGGAGATATTATTTGTTGTAAAGAACTAGAATTTTTATATATTTTCTAAGGCAGAAACCCTTCACTTCTTTGATATATGAGATTTGAAATGAAGGTTTAAAAATATAAGGTTATATAAAAGCACATTTCCCCAAAGAAATGAAGGAGCAAGGAAGTTGTGCTGTTAAGAATAATTGAAAAGTTTGGTTATTGATATTTGAGTAAATCGGTTCTAGGACATGAGTCAGAATCTTGTGCATTCCTATGCTGCCTTTATGCTGTGTTCTGGAGACTAATCTATTTTTTAATATATGTTAAAAGAAAACAAATATGTGAAAATTGACAAAAAGTAGTAATTTCAAATATTCAAATATTCATATTAATTGCTAAAAACTTGATCCTAAATGAGATATATAATTATATATAAGAAACTTTTGTGCATAATATGTATATGTATATTGATTATAATTACGTTGTTACAATCTGTGATGAAAAAAAATTTTATCTATTTATAATTAAATTTGCAAAAAAAATTATGATAGTTAACCATTGACCAATAATAAAAGCATCTTGTTTTTTAATATTCATTTATTACTATTAGTGACAATAGTTTTTTCTTTATAATAGTTTATATTATATTTATATTTTATCTTAGGATCCATTTCATTATGTCTAGTTTATCAGATTTGATATCAGAAGATAGTACTGATATCAGCGTTTATATTTTACGTAAAATAATTATTTTTCACTATTTTGTATATGAATGTATATGAATGATTTTGTAGAAACTTTTAATGTGCTAAATATTTATAAGTTTACATATTTATAGCAAAAAGAATTATATCCGAATAATATCAAAAAAATTTGGAAGTTGTAAATATTTTAGTAATTCGGCACATCTATTAACATTTCTTAACGGAATGCTTTTTACATCAAATTTCTTGATTCTTAAATTATTCTATATTATCATGAGTGTTCATATAATTATAAATCAATACAAATGTAAATATGACATTGGTATATATTTATAATACAACGGAGTTGACTAGTAGGTTATGAAACTTGAATTTCATTGTTATTCTTTAATTGTGCTGTGTCAGCCACTAAAAAAATATGTTATCGTACAATATAGAGAAATACTTTATATATAGGATATATATTGTTATATATATATATAATATATATGTATATATCGCTAGTCATGTTAATTCGATCACTCTTTGTTTCATGTGAGATCATGTAATATTAGATCAATACATTGATTATACTGAATACAAAAAATGTATATGCGTAAGGAAAAGATAAAGAGTATTATAATTATAGGATGAGAGAATAGTCAGTTAATGAATGGAAGTATTGACATTTAGAAAATGTTTTTTGTAACTGCACCATTTTATGATATTCTCGATTGATACTCGCTGGTATAATATATTTTAATGAAGAATATAGTTAATAAAAATATATTTTCAATTACACATTGTTACGTATTTCTTGTCCAATGAATTATTGAAAACATGATAAAATTATTTCGTTGAGAGAAAATAAAAGCTAATTCAAAGCTATCTTGTTAAAACCACATTGCATTTTCGATATTTCACATTCAATATTAAGATCATCCAATATACAAAAAATATCAAGATAATTTAATGACATTATCTAATCTATTAGATTTCTTTGCATTTCATTAATATTAATAAAAGTCATGTTATTGCTATATCAGACTTTTAAGACTGTCTTAATATACGCTAAGATATCATGATTTCTCAAGATTTCTGTATGATCCACTCCAGGAAAACCTTGATTATAAATTTTTTGTTTTTGTGATTTTTGCCAATGAGTACATGCTTCCAAGCTTCTTATATTTACAGTTCCATCACCGTCTCCAAATATTAATTGAGGATAATCATTTACAGTTGTACCTGGCTTATAATACAACCTATACAAAAATATATGGAAATTTTTAACTCTTCTTACAGATCTAAATAACATTATCTTAATTCATAAAATTATATACAAACTTTTCTACAGTATTCACTTTGCTGCCATACAAACAATATACTTTAACACCTGGTGCAGTAAAATCCAATTGATATTTTTCATTATCTTTTCTGAACTCCCAAGCATTAGGAACATCTATGTCACTGTAAATGAAAATATTTCTAAAAATACTGATGGATAAATTGCAGTAGGTATAACAATCTAAATAAGCTGACGTACATAAAATATTGTTGTAAATTATTCAATGTGTAATTTTTCTGATCTGATTGCACTAAAATCTCTGTGTCTTTCCAAAATAGTTTGGAAGGCAATAACCATCCTAAACTTGGACTCGTTATCTGTTCATCTCTTAGTATACTCTCACGAAGAAAATATGCGCCCAAGTCATCTCCTACATTAGATACAAATTTAATGGTCATTTTTATCAATGTCTATTAATTTTAATCTTTGGTTAATTTACTCTTTATCTTTTTCTAATTCTTAAAAAAAGATTAGTTATTGATAAGTAAAAGCAGCAATTTTACAAGTTACCAATTTACTTACCAATAGCAAATACTTTAATAGCTTTGACAGATCCCGCCCATACAGCACTAAGGGTGATCAGGGCATTTATGTATTTATCTTTCCATTTCTGACTTTGACGTTGTAACATTATAAGAGTCATGGGTCCACCCATGCTGTGAGCCAATAATGTCACTGGTGTATTATTATTCATTATGTATGTTTCTTCAACCAGAGTTTTCAGCTTGATGAAGAATTCTTCACTTTCGCCTGAAATTTAAGGTCTTTATCTCGGTAAATTTGTAATATAGTCGAATAAAATGCATGCAAGATGCCAGTGCATAACGCCTAAAACATTTGTTCGCTATTTTTACATACTAGGTCCCTTCCTGAAATCATAAGGTGCACCGCGCAGTGACAAATTCCTGATATATCCCAAATCATTCACCAACATATTTCCAATATCTTTGAAATATGAGCCTGGCGAAGCTCGACTGGGATCTATGTATTCGACTACAAACGGATCGCCCCATCCTGGTATCCTTATCTGTACTCCGAGTTGATTACTGGTAGTTCTTGTTACATTGTCATAATTCAATTTAAGATTATCAATCTACAGTAAGAATTAAAATACGCTTAGATTATTCGACGAGAAAAGAAAACAGAAATTGACAAATTAATAATCGTACAAAGCAGTCTATCACAACAGGTACGAGCAGTTCCATGTTCAGCCACAAGCTAAAATAATCGTTGGATACTTTCTCGCAGATATAATGCACCACCGACGACTTGTTAATCTTTGCCTCGACCTGGCTGCCTCCATCACCTGGAACTATATTATTTCCCTTCGTAAATAGACGCGTTCTTCACAACGTCTCAATAAGTCGATATCTCCGAAGCTTTATGATACTACGATAAGAATCATACAAAGCGGCACTTCAGAGCCGTTTCGACCCCTAAAGTGCAGAGAGAAAAAAATCAAGATACAAGCACTTTTCTTGCATTTTCGGAAATGCCAATTTCGAATCGGAGGATAGTTTACCTAAAATAACGGGCGATACTTGTTTCCCTTTCACGTGTCTGAGTGTCGCCGATTGTACGGAAAGCAAGAGAAAGATTATCGAGTTTCGGAGAGCGGCCAGGCGCATTGTTCGTCGCGGCTACGATTTTAAAAAGGACCGATTAAAGAAGACTCGTATCGCGGCGTCGAATCAAACTCGCGGATTAAATTTGTCGGAATTTCTTTCACCTTTTATCCTTCCAAGGTCGCTTTAAATTGTGATGAAAAGGCGAGCGCTCGTCCGCGTCACTGTCACTGCGTTGTTTGTATCGGTGTACGTAATCAGCTGATATTTCATACACATGCGTCGGAGGTGGGGGGAACCCTCACGATCGGCGACGGCCAATCGGAGAGGCCGAGGAGGCCGACGACGTCGTCTTATTGGCACGCTGTTGTAAGACTGACCGCGATTGCGGTCCTCCCATATTTGTTTAAATAACACGTCATCCAAAGTAGCGATTTAAATTACCGATAAATGCGGATGATATCAATATCCAGATAGATATCGAGAGAGAAAAAGAGAGAGAGAAGAAGGAGGCAAATGTAAATTTCGTTATGTCCTAATTATACGCTATATAGATATGAAATAAGGCCTTCAGCTATTTCCCTCGTACGAGGCAGATTGAAAAAAAGGGGACTGAAGACCAGACGAGATAAACAGATTTACGAGCGGATTGCGTATCTATTTTATTGTCTGATTTCGCAAGTGTCGATCAGTTGGAATCGAATCGAGAAGATAAACAAGCTTGACTATGATTCATTTCATGTTTCGCGTGACGTCTTGAATTGCGAAAGCCTCCGTCATACGACTTGTTTTGGATCGCCTTTTGCGTGCGTACTTGCCATCTTCATTTTTAACGATCGTCTAGTGATCTTGCGACCTAATTTTTGTTTTATATATATTTAACATAATTTTGATTGCATACGTTCGATTCCTGCTTCTCTCTCCTCCATTGGCGCGAACGAGAGAAGGTGAGCGAAAGAGAGAGAGAGAGAGAAAGAGAAAAAGAGAAAGAGGGACGCGTTCGAAATCTTAATCTCTGTGCTTTATCCCACGAACAAGTTGTTGGATCAATCGACGGTGCTTAGCACCGATTATCACCGGGACGGCGACGTCGCGTCCCGTCGCGTCCCGTCGCGTCCCGTCGCGTCACGCTGCGTCGCGTTGCATCGCACGCGCTCGCCCGTTCGAGAAGGACCCATTCGCGCGGATCAGAGCCGTGTGCTTAACCTGTGTTCGTGACGTTCCCTGGCCCGCCGCCCCTGGTCGAAGCTGCCGAGGATGGCCGACATCAAGCAGGAGTACAAGGGCGAGGACGTCGACAGCGGGATGGGCAACAGCGCTGACCCGAAGAACATGCAGGAGCTGACGCAATACGTGAGTCCGCGTATTTACGCACGGGATGATGATGATGATGACGATGATGCGCCCGGGGATGATCCGTCGCGACGCGACGCTGACACTACGTTGACTCCTTTGCAGGTGCAAACGCTGCTGCAGAACATGCAGGACAAGTTTCAAACCATGTCCGACCAGATCATCGGAAGAAATATCCTTTTTCTTGCCTTTCTTTTTAATCTAGAACAATGCATGAGGAGACGTGTGCGGCTGAAGCAACATTTGGAAGTCTCTAGAATCATTCTACTTTGTGTAGAATATTGTGTAACTGACTGCGGTAATATGTGTTGACCTTGGTCTGTTATGTTATTGCCAGTTATTTATGTGCATCTTGTTTTTCTTCTCTGAATTTAAATAGTAAATAGTAAAACACAATAGTTTGCATAATGAAACAATGAAACAATGAGAGATTATTTTATTGGTTTCAATAATTCAGAAGATTCTATATTCTCCATTAGAATTTATAGGTATATTGTATTCAGATTAATGCTATGAGAAATTAATTATAGATTCTATTATATACAATGCACTGATTATGTCATTTATTTTATGATATGCATGTCATGCTTTATTCCATTAATTTATTTGAAACGCAAAGCAATATGTATTTATTTATAATGTTGATATTATTATTATTATTATTATAAGATCCTTAATAAGAAATACTAGATGAGATGGGCAACAGAATAGATGATCTGGAAAAGAATATTGCAGACCTAATGACACAAGCAGGAGTCGAGGGAGGTGATAAATAAGCTCGTCCTTTTCTCAATGCACTGATTTTGTCTAAAGTATAGCCATACTTGTCATGGAAAAAGTATATCGATAGCGATATACCCATCCTTTTGTTACAATACGGAAAATAAATACTTACATTTTTTATAAACATTTTCATTCGATATTATTAAGAATCTCGTGACAGCTAATCCAGGTACTAGTTGAACAAACGGTGATTATGCTACTTCAGTGGAACATAGATTACATTGTTTTTTTAACTATCTTTTGAAGAAGTCTCTCTTTATATCTTATTCAAAACAATTTTCTAAGTGGCCACTTAAATTGCTACAAACAAGTATTCTTAAGAAATACGCAAACATGTATACGCAATAAAGTCTGATTCACTTTGTCTGATTCAGTCTATAAGGTATGCGATATATTATGGACGATATTAAGGACTTCTGACATGTAGGAATTGCTGGGACGGGTCTGAGAACGAAACGTTTCTTTACTTTATATCCAGCATTTTTCGACGCTCTTTTCTAAAAAGATAAAAAACGGGATATTAAAAGGATGATTGAAATTACATAGACTTTTGCCTAGTTCTCACAGGCTTCTCTTGAATCGATTCTGATTCCGTTTCCTCCGTACTATCATCTGGATATTCTTCAACTTGAACTGACTCGGAAGAGTTCGAGAATCCGGTTCGTGCAGAATCCTAAAATTTGTCAAATTTATTAAGAGATCCAAGAATAGGACAGATCATATATGGAGCGAATTATATATTCATATTTTGTACTTACAGCAGATTCAGTTCCTCCCTTAGCCAGTTTCTGTAATGCCACGGGCGAGGACGCGAATCGAGAGGCCAAGTTCGTTAATGAATAAGCTTGTCGAAACGAAGTTCGACCCACTGTGTCTAATCTTGCAACAGAATCAGGAACTCGCATTGTCTCTCGAAATTCCTAGATTTGGATACATAAAGCTTAATAAATATTGCATCAACGTTCGATAACAATCAATAACAAATAAAGGTTTATTGCTGAAATGTTAAGTTTTTCTCATTGAATCAGGAATAAATATCAACTTAGAGCAAATTTACCCCATTCATCTCTCCTCTCGCGCTTTGAAAGTCCTGCATGTCAAAGGACAAACAACGTTGACTGTATTTGTGCAAATATTTGTGTAAATTGTCTTTTAATTTTCAATATGATTTTGAAAAAGAACTAAAGTGGACTCTTTTATCTTACTTCAATATCTTTAATTTCGTCAATAGCCGCAACGTCTTGATACGCTTTGGTCAAGAGCTCAAGGGATTTGGTGTGAAAACTCAATTCGATGGTGATGAAATCTAGTAGTATGGACTTTAAATCGTGTAATTTTCGTCGTTCGAACGAGTCGATTTGCTCCTCTAATCCTTTTACTACTCGAGATACCTCGATGGATGCCTTCGTCAACTCCGATTCAGCTTGCGACTAATATTCTTTTTTAGATAAAGATTTATAATAAAAAATAGTGTGACGGAATACTTGAAACGATAAACTTACATCACTTTTTTTATACGTATATTCTAACGTAATTTAATTAATTTTTTGTCTCGAAATTGTTACGAAAAACAAAATCAGTTAGATCATAATTAAAGTTAATATTAGCGAAATAAACTTTAAAGGATACTATCATTTGACGGTTTCTGGGATTTCTCTCTCGAACTTTGTCTAAATGTCTTCGTCTCGTGAGTTCTCTGTCGCGTGCTGCAAAGGTGTTTTTGACATCGTCGCGAGCATGTTTGCAAATCATTGCGTATTGCGAGAGAGGTGCAATCACCTTGGCATCCAATCTTTGTACTTGCGCATCTCTATAAATCAGATCAATAATTTCAAAGACAGAGAAATATAAAGCAAAATAAGAAATCAAATAAAGCATACAATATATAACTAAAAAAAATATAAGAAAAGGAAAATAAAATAACTTTAAAAGCAGTTTTTTCAATCTTTACATTAGCGCGGAATAAGAAGAGTTTATCTAATAAAGTTAATAAATATTTTTTAATGTATTCTTCTTTTTCTCTCTAAGGTCAGCTAAAAAAAAACAGATAACAATGTGTACTTTTTTTTATTTTTCATTATACGCGTGACGACACCACATATACGAATATAATTATTTATTATAAAAATAAATTGTAATTTTTTTTCTTTTTATATATCGCAAAAAAGCATAATTATTTGAAATAGAGAAATAATATGTTTCACCTATAATCGCCGATGACCGATAATGTTGCAGAAAAATTCGTAAGTCCGGTGCTCAGCGATCGATTTATAACTTCCGAATCTGCGTAAGTTTGTATTACTTTAGCCAATTCATCGCCTTTATCACGCAATCTGGAAAAAGAAAGTAAATTAACGAATAGTGAACAAGCTTCGTCGTTAAAACGATAGGAAATAAGAGTGTGTCACTGAGGAAGAATAATCGATACGGTTTGTCGGGCATAGAAGCACCTGGCAGCTTTTCTGGTGAACGCCGCGAATATTGTACATAGCTCAGCGAAATGTCTCTCCACGCCCGTTATGCGATCTTGCACGAACTTCGCCTCCTGTTCACTAATAAACAAAATAAATTCATCAAATGATTCGTTTGCCATCTGTCAAATAGCGACACAAAATAAAGAAAAACCATACATTTTTGCAGTTTTAACTTACTATAAACTACTTTGAGAGCGCGCTCGAAGCATTTCTTTCTCAAGTATTTTGTAAAAATTTTTAACAAATTGTTTCACAATTTCCTTCTTCTGTGGTAATGTCTCGTGATCTCGTGAAAAACAATTTTAGTTTCTCCTTTCCACACGCTACGCTGACAGTTGCCTACTGGCAGGTGGTGAATTGCCGCAGGTGAAGTTATATGCGTTTTCTATACTCCCTTCCGGCTAACTACGTAGGAGGTCTCTGTTTTAGTCTTGTAAAGGATGATTCATTATTCATTGCTTTATATTTCAATAAAATAATTGACTGATAAGTATAATCAATATATATATTTACAAAAATACTTCATTAATACATTAATAGTAGGCTATAATAAATATTTAATAAATAATTTATAATATATTGTTAACATCAACTTTTTATTATGAAAATTCTCTGATAAATCTGCAAGCAGGATCATCTTTTCAATTCATATATGTAAGAAAATTAAGGATCATGATAATTGGAATTAGAAAGTGATTTTAAATCTCAGAATATATAGTATAAAAAAACTTGCAAAAATATTAAAGTATTAGATAATATGAAAAAAAAGACTAAACATATAAATAAGTATATAAATAAATAATAAAGTTTTTCTTTCTAGACAATACATGTTTAAAAATTAAAAATATTTTTGTGAAAGACATCTAAGAGATGTTTTATGTTCCAATTTTAAACTTTGTATTGTCTATTATCTCTCCGTCTATTATCTTTCTGGATTATTAATTTTTAGCAATTATTCAGATATACGAAAAGCTGAAATACAGTATGTCTAGACTTAAATTTAAATTGATTATCATGTTGTTTATTTGAAGAAAAAAAACTAATTTAAATATCTTTTCAAAAATTTTACTTAAAACGCTTAACACACAGGTTTATTAAAATTTTCTGTTTGTTATGGAGTTCAATAAATTATATAAAAATTATGAGTTTATTAACGGTATGTGACTAGTTAATATTTTTTATCACAGTAAATGAATGTCCTGCGCCAGCACCAATAAGAACAGCAATAAAATTAGATGGAATTGGAAGACATTCTGGCCGTAAAACGTTTTCCGTTTTCCATTACCACAGTTGCCATGCTCATTCCAGCCCC